AATCGGTTTCATCCAAGACAGCTTGAAGTTGAAGAGCAACCACCCTCTCAATTACATTGCTCAGAAATGGTAACAAAGAGACTGGCCTATAGTTGTTCATATTCAGGGGTCCAGGGAAGGTTTTTTCAGAAGTGGCCTAGGAGCCGCTTCCCTCAAACAGGATGAAATATGACCTTCCCTGAGGAATGCATTGATGATGTCTGTAAAGAACATCTTCAATGCATTCCCCCCCTCCCCCGGATGGCCAGCCATGATGGGCAAGGATCGAGAGAGCAGGTCTTTTTCTTCACTCTACCAAGGAGCTTGTCCATGTCATCAGTACTCACAGACTGAAACTGATCCAAGATAATTTCGTTAACGGAGTCGCTGGACACCTTGTCAGTTGTTTCTGTCAAAACACTGGTGTCTAAATTGGCTCTTACCTGAGAGATTTTATCTGCAAAAAAGTTGTTAAATGTGTCACAGCAGGCAGTTGTCAAGTTGAGTAATGGGTTCTGCACAGGAGGTACCTGCGCTAGCTTCCTTACCACCCTAAACAGCTCTTCTGGACAGGACTCTGCAGACGCAATACATGCTGAACAGAATGATCTCTGTGCTGCACATATTGCCTCTCAATAGGACCAAAGAAAGTTCCTATGACAAGTCTTGTCAGATAAGAGTCAAAGGAAACTTCTCTGATGGAAATTTGGTTCATGGGTGGAAGGGAACCATTGTGTGCAGCCCACAGGCCAAAAAAAGAACAGAAACTGCTCAGAGGGCACAAAAACTATAATTGTGGTAGGCAGTGGAGAGAGGGAAACCTAGAAAGAAGAGGGTTGAAGCTGAATAGAAGCACAATTTATCCTACCACACTGCACCATTTCTTTCAGGTCCTACCCATCTGGTAAATTTGTGTACTAAATCCAGTGTTAGTCTCAACTAGAAGAGACTCAGGGTGCATCTTCAGTGTAGCATCACTTGGGGTGGTGGTGGTGGTGGTGCAGACCATACCAGCTGACACTCCAGATGGGGGTGAAACTGAGTCACCTCCCAGTCCACACTTCCTTGCCGTGGCCCAGTTTTCCTCAGTGGAGAACCAGGCTGTAGCAAGGAGCCAGGCTGAGTGTGCACATGTCCACTACACTTCCTTGCTGTGGCAAGTGGAAGGGGTGGGGCTTCTACAAAGAGGTTCAGCTTTGCTGAGTGTATATGCTCCCTCTGCTCTTCCTTGCTGAAGCTAATTTTTCCTCTGAGGAAAACCTAGGAGGGTTGGGTGGTGCACATGCACTTAGCAAGGCTGAGCCCAGTCTCCCCACAGCTACTTGTGGAAGCCCTCCTCTTCTGCTGCGGAAGCCCTGCCCCCCACCCCAAGTGACAAAAGTGGCAGGTATGCCACTGCATCTGCACTGTAGAAATAATACAGTTTGACACCACTTAAATGCCATGGCTTCAGCCTACAGAATTCTGGGATTTTTAGTTTTGTGAGGCACCAGAATTCTTTGGCAGACAAGGCTAAAGACAAACCCCTGGATTCCATAGGCTGGATCTTAATTATTTCTACAGTATAGATGCACCAGAGCCATCATAGTGTAGTGGTTTGAGCATTGGACTATGACTCTGGAGATCAGGGCTCAATTCCTTGATGGGTCACACACTTTTGGCCTCAGAAAACCCTGTGATAGGTTCACTGTAAATCATAA